AAGCGTGGTGCACCACGCTTTGCAATCCCAATGTACTGCTGTCCGATGCAATGCCTTCTGGGAAGTTTTTGCAGTGTGTAGTGAGATAAAATGACTTGCCCAGAGATCTCTGGAAACTAGGGGTCATGCATACGAGCAATATAATAACCTGAATGGGCTTATGCCAATATGCAACTTCCTTCATCCATATGTCATAATTTTTGCATCTTTTTAAAAATTCCACAAAACTGTATAGCACTTTTTGCTGTCTGTCATTTCTGGCAGAAGCAATAAGCCTGCACAGCTCTGCACTGGTCTCATGAACATTGCAAATACAGGATGCATGATCCTCCAGTATTTACAAACCCATAGGCAGAACCACAGCAATGAGGGATATGTCTATTTCTTTGAGGACCTATTGTTAAGGACATAGCAAAAAAACAACTCAGGATTGTTCATGGTGTTCACAGAGCAGCTGCAGATCCCAGAGCCCCGCTTCTGGGCCTGGGAAACAAGCACTGACTGGTGGGAACACATCATAATGCAGGTTTGGGATGATGAGCGGTGTCTGCAGAACTTTTGGACATGAAAGGTGACGTTCCCGATCTGCATCCGATGCTCAGCCCAGCCCTCCAGCACATGGACACCAAAATGAGAACTGCACCGATAGTTGAGAAACAAGTGTTGATCACACTCTTGAAGCTTGCAATCCCAGATTGCTACCAGTCAGTGGGAAATCATTTTGGAATTGGAAAATCCATGGTAGGGGCCATTGTCATGCAAGAGTGTAGGACCATTAATCGTCTGCTTCTATTCCGGACTGTGATTCTTGGCAATATGCAATACATAGTGGATAGCTCTGCAGTAATGGAGTTCTTTAATTGCCGTGGGGCAATAGGATGCTTCACCAGTATCAATGTGGGCTGGTCAGGGAAGGTGCATGAGGCTCGTATCTTTAAGAACACAGGACTGTTCAGAAAGCTGCAAGCAGGAATATTCTTTTCCAACAATGGATGATCATTGGTGATGTTGAAATGCTGTAGAGATCCTGAGGGACCCAGCCTACCCCTGGCTTATGAGGCCGTACACTGGCTAACTCAACAGCATCGAGGAAAGATTCAGCTACCACCTCAGCAGGTGCAGAATGACAATTGACTGTGCTTGTGGTAGATTGAAGAGATGCTGGCAGTGTTTACTCACAAGACTGGATCTTAGTGAGAAAATTCTCTCAATGGTTATAGCTGCCTGCTGTGTCCTGGATATCTTCCCTAGTACTCTTCTATCTCCTCTTCATCAGGGTCAGGCATTCCATGGATGTAGTGGGGGCACCCTTCAAGGCCGCAACAGCAGCAGCTACCAAGAAAACAGACAGATGTATCTTTGGATTTACAGCCACAGTGGAAAGTGCGGGATAAGTTTCAAAACTTACTTCCCTTATTTTCATAAATCTTTTTAATAAGACATGCTTATTGACACTTCAGCTTTGGAGTGCCTCTACACAGCACTGCTCTTCAGCCCCAGCCATAGTGTGTATTGCCTGCCAGGGGCCAGGATGGGAATGGAGGAGGGCATTAAGATTTTTTGGTTGCATGAAACAATATTTCGGTCCTTATTTCCATGAGTATAGGGCAGTGGCATTGAAGATTGGCACTATTTTCCCCAGGCAGTGGTGATTTTAGCTGATATCTCACTCCTGAGGGTAACAAAGGCACAAAGTCAGCTGCTGCTGGCATTCTGAAGCTGCCTGGGCTCGTATGCCACTAGCTTGTTGACTGCAATGGTGCCAGGCGAGCTCATCACGGAATGGCATGGGAAAGCGTCCACCCGCAGAGGAAGAAATAAGGCTGCTGCTCTAGAAACCTTCAGAAGTGGATTGCAGAGAATCTCCATAAAAGTTTCATTGAGATTTCTCAGGAGGATACAAGTGACATCCCTGTAGACAAACAACCTGCTCCAAATCCTCCCCTCACCAAATCCTACAAGGGAATGAAAAGCTGATAGCAGCTCTACCTCAGTTTTACTACTACCTCTACTTGAGTAAAACAATGAAAAGTCTAAACCTATTTCTTGTTAACTTGGGGATGGGATGAGTGTCATCTTCACATTTAAACACTAAAGGAAAATACATGAATGCACTTAAGCAAGGTTCCTTCCCCTTCATCGGGCTCATCCATCCTTGGTTGGCGTGACTAGCTGGACTCCCCTCCTGCCCCTCCATGTTCTTCTCCTTCTCTCTGTTCACAGCAGGGTCTTGGTCTGTATGGTACCTGGGGGAGGGGGTGTCTCTGCAAAGTATGGCATGCAGCTTGTAAAAGCTGCAGGTCTGTAGCTCAGCACCAGATTGATTGATGGCCTCCCTCTCCTTGTGGGGTATGCCTGCTGCAGTTCCTTCGCTTTCACATGGCACTGCCGCTGATCCCTGTCATACTTCTTCACCTAAAACCCTGTGCGATCTCTTCATGGATGTCCATGTTTCTACTGCTGGTCCATAGCTGTGTTTGCACAACAACATCTCACACAGGCCCAGGAGATCCAGTACTTCCTGTCTACTCCAGACAGGCGTGTGTCTAGAGCAGGGGTGGGCGAACTTTTTGGCCCGAGGGTCACATCGGGGTGGTGAAACTGTATGGAGGGCTGGATAGGGAAGGCTGTGCCTCCCCAAACAGCCTGGCCTCCACCCCCTCCCACTTCCCGCCCCGACTGCCCCCCTCAGAATCCCGAACCCGTCCAATCCCCCCTGCTCCTTGTCCCCTGATTGCCTCCTCCAGGGACCTCCCGCCCCTAACTACCCCTCGGGACCCCACCCCCATCCAACCCTCCCGTCCCCTCACTGCCCCGACCTCTATCCACACTCTACCCTCCCAACAGGCCCTCCGGGACTCCCAGGCCTATCCAACCCCCTCTATCCTCCATCCCCTGACCGCCCCCCCCGAACCTCTGACCTATCCAATCCCCGCTGCTCCTTGTCCCCTGACCGCCCCCTCCCAGAACCCCCCACCCCTAACCACCCCCCCGGGACTCCCATGCCTATCCAACCCCCTCTGTCCCCCATCCCCTGACTGCCCCCTCCCAGAACCCCCCACCCCTAACCACCCCCCCAGGGCCCCCATGCCTATCCAACCCCCTCTGTCCCCCATCCCCTGACTGCCCCCTCCCAGAACCCCCCACCCCTAACCACC